AGGTCCGCGGAAGCTCGCGGGCGGAAGCTTCCTTATTTCCATTCGATTGAGTCACCTATTTTTTTAACGGCTCAATTGACGTACAGCAACAACATCCACGGCTTTCAGGAACGCTGGGGTTACTCGGCGTTAGCAGCCCTAGCTTGTCTCCAGAGCTAAGTAATTTACTTAGCCAATAGAAGAACTTCAACCTCTTTGGGGGCAAATTCGCTGCCACGTACCAGCATGTATTGCCTTGGAGAATGGGGACGCAATAACGTAGTACCTGCTCTGAATCTCCGACCGCCCCTCCTGTCAGGAAACGCGGTAGCCAAATTGTTAAGTACCACTTGTAAAGCTGGGGTTAGATCCTTCAGGATCCCGCAGGTATAGTTCCCAGTTGCAACATGGAGTAAAGACCACTTCACATGGCAATCATGCAGTTCTATGTGTGAAGTAAACCCACAACTGCCAAGCTTCAGGTGAGTAGTATTTTGTTTGGGGATACTATGGTACCCAATATAGAGTAAGATTCTATCCTCCTTTTGGGGTATAGTATTGTCTAGAAGGAATATAATCTTACTAGGTTTAACCACCAAAAAACACGCTACTCAGGTATCCGACGCCTTCAGGGCAAGTGATTTACGTTGACAGCCACAAAGGCCAGGATGACAATCCTGGGACTTTGGCAAAGCCCGTGAGGCGGCACGGCGGAGAAGGTCGTCCAAGTATCATAAAGGAGTAAGTAGGCACCTGGAAGCTAAAATGAGAATGAATAATTGTTTCATAAAGAATGGCGATACTTAGTTCGAAATACCATATCGTTGCATGTTAGGGTGGTTTGAAGTATGCGGGGGAGGGGATGAATGAGAATTGCGTTATAGGATTAACATAGGGCAGAAAATGCTGGAAAGTTTGAGGGCAGTATGGCAGCATTTGCGCAGCTTGTGTTTCCAAAAGCAAAAACGTCCAAAGCCTTCTTGACTTGGGATCCACTCGAAGTCTGTGTACAAGGATGGTTTTGAGGTCCAGTCGTGATTCAAACATGAATGACCAGATTCCCGCGGCCAAGGTCTCTGCAACATGCTGTGGGGCTTGCTGCAGCACTCTCCAACCCAGTTGTGGTGCTGCGCAGCGCGGCTGTTTTGATACGTGCTTTTATATTTTGCACATAGACGCCTGTAATCCTCAGACCAACGCCCTTGCCCCAAGTACCTCAAACTCAACCGAGGCGAGGGCACCCACTTCGTAGAGAGCACGTTGCAGATTTCTGCGGAGAAGTTTCCAAAGGCTCTGTCTGGGGCTCCTAGGCATGTTGCCGCTCTGCTTGACCCTACCAAAGCAACTGGGAGACCATATCAGGGGCCGTCAGAGATACATTTGGCTTCAGGATCTGAACGCAGAGCTTCAGTGGTGCGCAGTTATTTTTGGCAATTGGCGACGTGAAGAGCTCAAGATGAAAAGTCTTGTCCGAACGCAAGAGTCCACTTCCAAAATGTGCAACCCGAAGGGTCCAAGTACCCAATATTTGGGAGGGAAAAAGTACCCAAAGATTAGGTTGGAGGTGCTAGATTTTTGTAACCTGAAGCCCCATTTGTGGACTACTTGGACACCGAGGGTAAGCTTTTCACCCTCATTTTGCGCGTAGCGGGCTGCCCTCTCTGAAAGTAAAGTCAGACCATGAACATCGCGATTCGGTTCAGAAGAGCCTGAAAAAAGGGAACCAACTCACCCATGAAGGAAGACGAATACAATCGTGATGTTTGTGGCGCAACAGTTCAAAGCTTTTTTAAAGTTCGCGACCTTAGATAATGGGCAGTTCCAGACTTCCTTGTGCCTGCAAGCGTGAACCCCCGACGGTCCTGGCGCATGCCCAGAAGTTACACCAAAAGGTCTCAAGATCCAGAATTCCTTGTGCCCTCCCTTCTGAAGGTTCTCCCCATCCCGAACCACATGCCCAAAAAACAAGAACAGCTACAGGGCCTGCAGATCCAGAACTACAACATGGAGCATGCAGTTGTCAGCGGAGGCCCACAGCTTAGCGTCGGCTACCGTGGGGCGTCAAAATATATTATGGGATCCTATTCTGCCCGCTTTCCACCAGATGACCCCTAATCAGGACATGTTCGGCCCTGTTTAGCCTTGATTTGGGGGAGGGGGTGCAGTACAGGATCCCATGATTAAAGGTCTTTGTGTCAAGAGGTACACTCGTGCAGGGCTTTGGCTCTACGGGGATTCGAGCTTAAAAGGGTTCAAACCACCATGGATGTTCTAGCTGGCACTTTGGGATAATAGCTTCTTTCCTTTATTGCTGGAAAAGGGGGCCTGTTCACATCCGGGGGCCTTCAAAATACCACCCATTTTAGGTTGTCCAAGGGTTGGGGCTTCAAGGTGTGGGGGGCTCAGCATTTGAAGAGGTGGGGCTTTGGGGGTTTGGACATGAGATGTAGGGAGGAAGAGTACCAGGCAACCCAACAATAGTCAATAGTCATATGATGTAAGATTCCTCGCGGTCACCATTAGTGGATGTGCGCCTCTTTGACAGCGAAACTGGAGGCGTCTCAGGGCACGTACGGGAACTCGGGGGAACAGACTTCGGTTATCTGCGGTTTGGCTACTTTCCTCATTTATTCTACCTGCTAAGATTACTTGTCATACCAGTGCAGGCACCCACATTTAGGGACCTTGTAAACCACATGAGTCCCATAAATCCTGGCAGACATACCTTGCCGAAACGCAACCATGGGATTACCAAAACCATGGCTGAGTCTATCTTAAGCATGTCTATAACTTAGAGACCTGTGCCGCATAAGGTCGGCTGCTGAACATCCCCAAAAGCTCCTGGAGCCAAGTTCGGAATGAGACGCTTGCACGCGATGGGTCTTGAGGCTTCTCAACAAAGCTACGCGCTTTAGGGTTTAGGTTTTAGGTTTTATGGTAATTTGGTACAATAGAGGGCCGCCGCGGTCCGGAGGACGCCATGTGACACCTTCATGCACCTAAAGCTCCAATGCCCAGGGACACCTTGCATGCCCCAAGAGCAAAGAGTTTGTGTTGCCAAGCCACCAACAAGTAGGGCCGGATTTGATCGGGTTCCCGGGAATTCCATATATGTAGCCGAAACTGACGATGCGACGGTCAAGGGTCCGGGCAGGAGTGTGAAGAAAATCCCCGATGGAATTTGTAGCTGTGTTGCAGCTCCTTAAATATAATGGTAGCCCCATGTGCTTGGAATATCTTTAGGACACTCTTGTTGCCCATATTGTCAGCTCCCAGCATGTGCTAAATACTTGATATTACAAAAGCGACTTGTGACGAAATGGTGTATACAAATTGCTCAAAGCAAAGCCAAGGACAGGTTGGAAGCGCTACAAAGGCTGGAACAACATCTATGGGTTGGTGTCGGACCCCAAGAAGAGTGAAGATTGCTGCACCTATTTGGGAACCTTTGACTCCGTGCAGAAGTGCGAGGACGCGGCCAAGGGATTTTCAAGCTACTGGCCTGTGGCTACCAAATGCTGGTTCTTTCTTTGGTATATTTTTTTGGGAGGTAGAGTTCCAAGTATCGTTTTTAAATCTACCCATTCCCAGCAGCCCCTAAACCTTGAAACCCACCTATCAATCCCTGAAGTGATAATAGCCAATCAAGGCTATGTTTGGCATGAGACTGCGGACCCCTCTTGGCTGCGCACCTGCTATGGGGTTCGAGAGCCCTACGGCTTCCGCCCCGTGTCACAGGATGGCGTCATCACAGGCAGTATCATAGTTGATGCAGCCGCCACTATCAACCCTTGATCTTTCTGAGCTGATCCCCAAACCCTGACAGTTGGAATCCGAAGCAGCTTCCCTGGACTCTCTGCTTTGTGAGCCTGAGTTGTTTTAGGCACAAGCGACGCAAATTTCAGTTTGATACCCTACTTGGCTTTTGAGGTCTCTGCTTACAATGTACTTCTGGTACAGTCCACTTCCTGCACAGATCGGAACTTAAGCTCGCAAATTCCCTCAACGATTTAGTACTTGGGTTTCGGGCGATAGGGACAGTACATTTTGGGGAAGTATATAATTACAAAGTACTTGGAGCCTTAGCGTGTAATTATATATATATAGATATGAGTAGAGACCCCCATTGTGATCTGTAATCCCCTTATATCCCTCCAGTCCCCTCCACTACCCGTTTATGAGAAATCCTCAACTCCTTCAGCACGGAGGGGATTTCTGTAACCCCTACCCCTATAATCAGGACTCTGTAAGAGTCAAAATATGATAGTCATAGGTTCCCCTTTGAGGGGGTTACCCAAGTCCTTTAACCCCTACACCCTAAACCCAAATACCCTAAACCCTAAACCCAACTTCCCCAAACCCTAAACCCAAATCCCCCAAACCCTAAACCCAAATCCCCCAAACCCCACATCCAAATTCCCTAAATCCCCTAAGCCCTACTATTTGGAGGTCGAAAGATGAGCACCAACCTTTGGCGAGCCAACCTCTCAGCCCTCGGCTTGAACATCGGCGAGGACAGTAGGTCCCCTCCTAGAAGGATACAGTCCCCCTTAAGTAGATAGAATAAAGGGTTTAGGGCTTAGGGTTTAGGGCTTAGGGTTATAGTCCCCCTTAAGTAGATAGAATAAAGGGTTTAGGGTTTAGGGTTATAGTCCCTCTTAAGTAGATAGAATATGGGGTAAATGGGGATCTTATTATAGGATACCCAAAGCCATATTCTATCTACTTAAGGGGGACTATATAGTGTGCTTACAAGGATTATATCGGGTTATATACGGGTTTAGGGTTTAGCGAAAATGATATCGGGTTTCCCAAGATTAGGGGTACGGGGATATATAGGGTTTAGGGTTTAGGGTTTAGAGTTTCCCAAATTGAGAATGCTTTTTTTCGGGGCCCCTAGTAAGGGTTATAGTATTTGGGGGTCTACATTGGGGACTATTGGGGGAAACTACCAATCGGGGGGCTACAGCCGGAGGGAGGCAGTATGTGAGGTCTTTGTGGACAAGAAAGAGTTATAGGTGTTGGTGTCTTTCCAAAATTTCATGACATCAAAGATTTCGGGTTGCGTATGCCCGAAGATTATGCAGTGGGAGTAGCCCGACGGGTGATCTTTTGACCGCTATGGTTTAACGTCAAGATGGTTATAACAAGAAGCAACACGCTGCACCAAAGTGCTCAAGTCCGAGGCTCAATGGCATACTGTAACCACCCCTGTGGCTAGAACGACTATACCCCCAGTCTTTCAACCATGTGCTTCTACCAGAATCCTTTACTCCTCGCTCTTCTGCTGTGGTGATGCGGGAGCCCCTTTTTGGAGGAGGGCTTCCCCGGCCTGCGTCTGAACGGCCAGCGAGCAATTCGCGCCAAGTATCCGGATGGCGCGCCCGAGCGCACTGGGGAATGGCTGCACCTCCTCCACTCTAGAAAATTCTAGGCCTTAGGACGTCAGATTTAATGGTATAATGTCAACGATAGAGGCTTTTAGAAGGTACTAGCTCTCGGAAGCTGTTTGTTTGGCACCAGGTTCCGGACCTAGAACTCTCAGCGGGCAGCGTAGGGGTTTCCAGAATGTAGTCTGTCTTTGCGTAGACGCCGGATGGAAGGCAAAATGCAGATCATCCATAGCTTGACAGCTAAAATTTGGCCTTTGTGTCGTTTGCAGGTAATTAGCCAGACCTTTCCCCAAAAGCAACCACACAGCCCTAGGGTAAGCCCAGCTGTCCGCATGGGACGGCTGCGAGCGTGAGGTATGGTGCTGGCCAAGCAATGGGAGGTGGCGACTACGTTAACGCCTTCATCCGTTTCCCAGACTCATTTAGACGGACCCCACCAAAGATCAAGCATCGAGGACGAATCCTCCAATATTAAGCTTTGGATGACTCAGGGATGTAAGGGCATCTGAAGTTGTGTTGTTTCATGGTCAGAAGTCTGTCTCTGACACAGCACGCTGAGCATGGCCTACTGGTCCGGATAGCTTTTCAGATCAGAGTTGTATTGCTTATGGAAGTAGAGCCCGGGGATAGAGTCATCATATACCCTCATCAAATGCCTCACGTAAGGAGTGGTAAAGCCCTGGGCATACCGAGTCGGGTGAGGTCCTTGCAAGGCATCTGTAAAGTAAAATCACCAAATTCCGCGGAAATCTTTAATTTGTCCAAAACCACCACAAGCTTTTGAAAATTGCAAGTTACGACCAACCACCTAAAGTTTGAATTGTAAGAGTGTAAGATGCTTTACTATTCCGAGATGGAAGCTTCTGGAAATCCTGTTGTCATCCCAACGGGCTCCCAGTATCTACTGTAGACATCCCTACAGTTACCTTGAGAAGCTTCACCCTAAACCCTAAACCCATATAAGCTATAGTCTAAGCTCCACGTACCCCCTTGATAAGCCGTAGAGTGGTCCCCTATATAATCCCCAATAACCCCCTGTAAGGAGTTTAGACTAAAACCTATATGAAGACCTACCCTAAACCCTAAGCCCTACACCGGGTACGAACCCTTTGCCGAGCCGAGCAGATGAAAAGTCCGTCCGAAGGGTTGTAAAAAATAACTATACCCATTGGAAAACCATTTGAGTAGTATCTTATTTGGGGATACTATGGTACCCATTATAGAGTAAGATTCTATCCTCCTTTGGGGGTATAGTATTTCATATGAGGAATATAATCTTACTAGGTTCAACCACCACAAAAAACGCTACTCATTTGAAAATCTACCCCTTAAAAGGGGGGTTATAAAAGGGATTGTTTAGGGGTCTACTATAGGGGTTACTAAGGGGGATACTAGGAGTTTAGACTACAGCCCATTTGAAAACCAACCAGGTGATGGTTTCACTTCCTGGACGCCACCTCGCCCCCGCGGCCCCCCGCAGGATCTGGTCGTCGGCAGCTCCGACTCTCGGGCTTCTACCGGGTTTAGGGTTTAGGGTTTAGGGTTCATATTTGGATAATGGAAAATAAAATGGAAACTGATATATAATACAGAGGTTACATACGGATTATGACGGGGTATATTGAGACAATGGAAAAGAAAAAATCGAAACTACTTTTAGGGATTAGGGTTTAGGGGTAATCGCGTCATACTATAGTCCCCCTTCAGTAGATAAAATATGGCTTTGGGTATATTATAATAGGATCCTCATCTACCCCGTGGTCTATCTACTCAAGGGGGACTATAACATCAAGGCACGCCCCCAAATATAAATTGTTCCACCAGATAAGGTCTCTTCTGGGGAACACTTGGTATTGGGCGCAGTTGGGCGTTCCATATCCACACGACGGGACTACTTGAGCCCACTGATACGGAATGCAGTCCCAATACGTATAAGCTACTCTCACTGATGTTCAACACTACGGGCTACGAGCATTTCCAACTGGCACGTTTCGTGACTGCTACGCACATGAATTCGCAATTTCCCTTTCATGAGCAAGCCTAATGTGTGATGACTGAGAGTTAGGCAACATAAGGTAAAGGCTTCAACCCCCAAACCCTAAACCCNNCCCTAAACCCTAAACCCTAGCCCGTGTTCTGATTGAGATTCAGGTTTGCGTTCGTTTCACGAAGGTTGACCTGGATGACTTAGGGGTTCTGTGGTTATTCTGGGCTGTATAGGGATTAAGGAGTCCGCCTTTGTTAAGGTAAGGAGTTACCTTCTGATTTCTACATACAAATTTCCTGTGTCTCAGAATGATCTCAATTTCCCTCAGAATTCCCTCAGAATGCCCATCTAACCTTAGGGTCTTCCTAGGGTCCAGGGTTTAGGGTACCT